CATAGCCTAGCAGCAAAGGAATCTTTGGCCAACCGTGCCCTAGCAACAATGGAATCTTTGGCCAACCATAACCTAGCAACAATGGAATCTTAGGTCAACCATAGCCTATCATCAAAGGAAACTTTGGCCAACCGTGACCTAGCAACAAGGGAATCTTTGGCCAACTTTAACCTAGCAACAATGGAATCTTTGGCCAACCATAGCCTAGCAGCAAAGGAATCTTTGGCCAATTGTAACCTAGCAACAAGGTAATCTTAGGCCAACAATAGCCTATCATCAAAGGAAACTTTGGCCAACCGTGACCTAGCAACAAGGGAATCTTTGACCAACTGTAGACTAGTAACAAGTAAATCTTTGCTCTCTTAAAGGCGTATAAGCCCTTCGAAAAAAAACTGAAAAGTCTGAAAGTTTTAGCATTTGTAAGTTATAGGCTAATAAGTTGCCTTCAGATGAATTCTGTTGATTATAGATGTCAACTTTTTGCTTTTCCAAGTATTTCTGGATGTAATTTCCAGAATTCATCTCCAATAATGTCTATATGCTGCGTTACAACCACATTCCTGACCCGAGTTACTTCTTTCGTTTCTAATCTCTCACTGTCTTTACTCTTGAAGTGTTTCATCAATTTCTCTTCAACCTGTTGACATAGAGTAAAAAAAGTTAATACTGAGAACATATGAGGCATGTAACCTCTACATACAATGATTTAAAAATGGCAGCAGTCATCATGCCATGTATGAACCTGATTTCCACATAAACAACCGCACTAACAATTCAATATGGCAGCTAGTACATGTGTGAGTTGTGACCTTGCAGCATTCATTTCAGTTAAGGAACATGCAGCGAATCATAATTCACCTATAAAAACCTTGATACTGTCTTTTCTGGTACACTCTGATCTGCAAAGTTGTTTCTGTAGATATGCACACATTGCATTTTCATGAATGTTATCAACAGTTCTTGTATCTAGTGAAGACTGCTGTCCTTTAGTAGCATTCAAAATCAATCAGATTTAAATGTGAAATATGTAGAGAGTCTGATCACTTTAATTACAGTCGCCTCAAATCACATCATATTAGTACCATCTGAGTCAACCAAATACAAGATGTCTGACAAAAATTCAGCTAACAACACAAATTCTGATTGGTTGCTAACTAATTTGCATATTAGTTAGATGGTACTCACCTTCTGCCAAAATAGTACAGTTCCTTTCCTGAATAATTGCGGTAATTCATTGTAATTTATATCAAATTGAGAGAAAAGCAGCTCATTTTTATCACTGGAATAAGTTCCCTATATAACAAAAATAATTCAAAATACTGTATTAGCTCTATTAGATGTAAATCTAATAGGATTATTGGATTATTCAAATATTTTGACTAAGACAAAATAACCTCTTATTTACATGAGTTCTACTAATAGAAAGCAAAGCAATAATTGGCTAGAATCTATTTATTTATTTATTTATTTATTTATTTATTTATTTATTTATTTATTTATTTATTTATTTATTGACTTATTGACTCTTACACAATCCCCGGAGGGAAAGAAAATTGTCACAAAGTACAAGGAGAAAAATATGTATAAAAACAAAACAAAAACACAATATACTAAATAACAAATACAATCACTAAATATAAACTAAGTATAAATGCGTTTAGACCTTAGAACTACAATGTACTTACTTTCAGTTTTTGTTCCGCTTCTTTAGTAGAATATCCACCTTGTAAAACTAACTTCCAGAAACATGTATTGTATAAATTATTGATATGACCTGAAATATCAAGTACAGTTATCCTGATTTTAAGTAAAAATAATGCTGCATACCAAAATGGACAAAATAGAAGCTGCTGACACAATAGTAACAACATTTATTAAAATTGACCATACTTGACGAAGTAAAGATGTTGAAACTTCTTCTACACTTCTTCTACAATTTCTAATCAATTGTTTTTGAAAAAAATTTGCCCTTGTTTTTGCCAAAATCCATGCCAAGAGATTGTACTTCAATATCAGTATTAAAATAATGCCATCTCCAAGATTCAGGAATCCACAGAAAATTTGACCAGTAGGAAACATCATACTGACTGGTCAATAATCAAATCAAATCAGGTCAAATTAAATCAGGTCAAATCAAATCAGGTCAAATTAAATCAGGTCAAACTTTTTATAGCAAACATCATAGTGTGTGTGAGCATAACCATTCAACAACAAAGATAATGATGAAGATTTTGTCTTCAACTGTTTTTTAACAGACCCTAACAATTTTTACGTCTTAGATCCTACTGGCACTAAAATAATATTGTGATAAAAATTAGTCATTTTGATAATTGGAGTGGAGCAAGGTTGAGTATGTTTATTAATGCATGCACTTATATAAATGACAGAGGTATGTCTGAGGTCATAATTTAATAGACCAGTCCAATTTATGTGCATGTATCTCTATTGGAGAAAATATAGTTAAAATGGTTAAACACAAGTCAAATTTAATATATATTATTTTAAATCTCAGAATATGAGTTGAGTATCGTAGATGATTATGCTTTCCTGCAGCATTGAGTTGTTCTCAAAAAAACAACTGTTAGACATAGTGTAAAACAATGACTTACAGTCTGCTTGCCTCCAACTCAAGTAATCTCTGAGGTTTTCATCACTGGGGTAAACAACTACCCGACAATCAAACGCAGGTGGGTACATCAACTGTTTGTTTGGAAAGAACTTACTCCAATTGAAAACATAAGAGGCAGCAAACAAGGATACCACATTGGTCATTAATTTACTGAAAACAGACAGAGAAATCGTGACAAATTGTTAATTACGCAACAAATACTCACTATCGTTAACATGATGCCACACTTCACATTAGGCAAAAAAAATAGAGAAGTGAAAATAAAATAATGATGCTGTGATTTTTGGATAACAATAATTGTACGATATCTACAACTCTAGTTGACACGTATACTGCAGGAACTTTTCGGCTTGTCATTAAATTTATGCAAAGTAAAGCAAACATCTGTACTAGTAGAAACAGCTGGTTTGCTATGCATTTCCCGCTATACCAGTAAGTCTTACTACTTTGGAGGTGATAACAATTATGTTTTTAGTGATATGAAATGATAAATTTTACATACATTAACTTATTTGAATTAAGTATTGCTGTGCATGAATTCACAAATATGCAAAATTATTCGATTACTGAGGTCTGCAGTAAGATTTCAAAATCTAAAAAAAATTGTTGAATTCAATAGGGGATTTAAATTATAGAAAATAAACTGCATCTATAAAAATACAAACAGAACAGATATTTTACAGATGTAAGGAAAAAAAACATCATGTTGACAAAAATGATGACAGACAGACAGAATTAAAGATTGTAAAAAAAATCATGTGATTTTGCAACAGTTTTTTCACCTTTATTACATGTAAAGCATTATTTAAATATATGTTTACAGTTGAATATATATTTTATTGTTGTGGTATTGATTTTAAGTGTGATCAACACAGTATATATGATGGACATTGAAGGGTTTGAAATGAATTCACAGGAGTTCTCACGTGAGAATATAGTTTATCACATGTATGACAGGAAAATCTATTGTAGAGTTATAACTATGGAAGCTGACGTACATGTATAATTACAAATATTTCTGGACCCCTATTTTATGTTTTAATAATATTTTCACTAACACATTATCTTAGTTTAAAAAAAAAATTAATACAATTTTTCAAATTTGAATGGGTCAATTATTTCCACTCATTAGTTATGACCAAAAAAATACTGTAAACTTGTGAGACAAATTTATGAGAATTTAGCAAGCCAATGGAAATCACAACAATTGTTTAGCAGTAAAAATGTCTCTGGGGTGACTTTCACAAAATGTTGTCCTTACGAATGCCATGAAATCTTCAAATTGTTAAAATTCCTCGCAATGAAAATTAATCGTTTCACAGTATTATGGTATTCATAAAGCACCATCAAATATTTACAAAAAACTCAATCAATCTGAATTCTAAATTCACTGGTGAATTCTTACCTTGCCCTTCTGCTAAACTGTGTTGTACCTTTCCTAAACACAAAGCTATACTCGTCACTTTCTCCATATGCAACAGTGATGTCCTGGAATTCATTCATGACGTACACTGCACAGCAGTTCATTAGGTTTAGAGCTGCTTCATCATTTGGTTTGCTGAACTCGTGACTATCTGAGAACCTTTAGTGAATACGTAATAGAGAAAAGTGACTTATTTTCAGATAGTACATACTAGGAAATCCCAAATACAGAATAAAAAGTCATTTTGTTGCACATTTCAAAAGGCTAAAATTAATAAAAAAAAAATATCTCTTTGGAAAACTACTCTGAAAAATTGGTTGTCCATGAAAATGTAGTTGTCCTATAATACATTTTTGTGTGTAGATAACACTTATGAACACTAGTGTTGACTTTTTCCATCTTTTCCAAAATTTAGGCGAGGGTTCTCCGGTCAATCAAAATGACTATTTTGAACTGTAGGCATTAATCAGCGATTCTGCCGGTGACGGAGAGATAGAATCTACGTCAGGGGAAGCCCCATGACCCCAAGATTCTCTTTCCCTTACGTCACGAACCACGTGACCGAGGCCATATGGCAGCACCATAGACGACTTTAATTAGTACAATCACTCTGGTTCCTTTCTCTCCGCCTTGAGGACTTAGACCAATGCTACAGAAAGAGTGGGGTGGTTGGGGGACCCGGAGTCTATGGTGGGTATGAACTCTATGAATAGGCGGGTTCGGAAAACCCTCGCCTAAATTCACTACATTCAAGTACCCACCTTAGACTCCGGTCAGTCAAAATGACTATTTTGAACTGTAGGCAGAGTCAGACGCAGATAGGTGGTGGGTTTTCAGAGCAAACGGAAAAGTGATGAAAAATTTTTTCCCAGTCCGGGATGAATCACTCAACACCCTAGTTAAGACACAAAAAAAGGTGGTATCTTACCTTGCCTGTGCAAGAAGCCAAAATGCTGCTACGGTGACAGCAAGAAAGCTAGACCCCAACCCAATTATGGGGGGTAGTAAGCTTTCGAAGTAAAGACCGAAACAGTTCCGCATGAGGGCATAGGCCGCCAAGCGGGACCTGGGAGCTTCCAGGGGAGTGCTGACATTAGGGAAATCTGTCTGCATAAAATGCCGAGACTGACTTATTGCCTATGCACAGGGACCCTTGCGGCTGGGTCAGCAAACCAAGACTGACCGGCTACGACAGGACCCAACCTAGACAGACCCTTTTCAATGGATTCTGTGTCTCTTAGGTGGTAGTTGATAAAGACGTTCTACGTTCTCCAGAAGCCTGCCTTCCATGTGTGCTAGTGAGTTAGCAATAGCACAGATCTCATTCGCTCGTACTTGAAAGCTCTGTGTCGAGGAAGTTAAAGTATTATAGACCTCTAATACAGTTGCAGTAAACCACCTGGTTATGGAGGTTGGGGAGGCCGGCCTATCCTGCCTGCCTAGGCCATAACACAAAGATATTTGCCTGGCACCCCGTCCAAATCCTTAGTACGGTTTGGTGGCAACTCAGTGCTCAAACCGGGCAGAGAAGCAATTCCTCCTGACCCTCCGGGCAGACAAAATTTGACAGCTGGGGATGACGATCGTGTCCTTGGATTTGGTTCTAGGCGAGAAACCCGCTTCGTGTCTTTAGCACAACTTGATTGTCCATAACGGCGGTACATCATCCGAGAAGGACAATGCCCCCAGCTCTGGCCGATGCCTACCTGAGGCGAGGGCCAGTAGGAAGACTATTTTCCACGTCAACAATTTGAGTGGTGCTGATTGGAGAGGCCCAAAGGGTGGTCTGCTTAGAGCGGACAACACAGCTGACAAGTCCCAGTTGAGCGGTTCCCTTGTAAGGGGTCTCAGTGTCTGGAAAGCAGTAAATAGTCTCCTAATAATAGGACAATCGGCTAGTCTTGTTCCCGTATGTTTTGAATGGTGGGGGACAAGGCCGACCTGTAGCCAACGATAGCTGCGTAGGACAAACCCACTTCGTCAATCACTGTATGCTCGCAGCCTAGAAATGTAGGCCGCGTTGGTGGAATCCCTGTTCGCCCTGGCCAGGACGTTGGCAGCTCGCTCAGATAAGGCTTTTGTATGTGCGGGTCTAATGAGAGCCTCTATGCGTGTAAGTGATACCCGCTGGGCTCGTTGGTAGTGCGCCATCTGGTTGGGACGGCAGGTCCGGTAAGTCCGGAAGCTGCTGGTGTTTCGACTAACATTTCCGACAGAAGTGGAAACTAGGCCTTGCTTGGCCAATTGGGTGCGACCAATGATAATATGCAGGTGCGCACCTGTCGTAGTTTTCTCCGGTGCTCGGTGAACTAGCAGGAAGGAAGGAAAGGCGTACACAACTAAGTGGGTCTGCGGGGTTAGCAAAGCGACCCTGGCCCAGGCTCCTGGAGTCAGCTTGGTGTTCCGGGGTGTGGCAAACCGGTCTAACCTTGGACCGTCCCACAGCCGAGACAGCCTGGAGGCTACCCACTGAGGTATCAGCCACTCAGTGTTCTGGAGACCAAAAGAGAATTTGCTCCGCTAGGACTGACAACGATGGGGAATGCGTTCCCCCCCTCCTTCTTGAAGGAGACCACCGCTGTGTTGCCTGAGCGGAGCAGGACTCTGTGGTCTCAAACTATGGGTAGAAAGTGTGGTAGTGCTAAGTACACTGCTCTCAGTTTGAGTCGGTTGATATGGTAGTCCCGAAACTATGCGGGAGCCATATTCTTGGGCTTGTTTGTCCAATAGATGCGCTCCCCAACTCTGGGGGGAGGCATCTGTTACCAGAGTCATACATTTGTACCTGTGGCGAGCGGGTCCAAGGGGGCCCCCTGTCTGAGGTTGGCCAGTGACTGCAAGAGATTGCAACCCGCCTATCTAGTTCCCATAGAAGAACTCAGCGTTATAACAAGCGTTATACCGGGCGGCTGCAGTGTGCGGCTTGGGGAACGACCCTTCGAACCGAGGTCATCATTCCGATGATCCGCATTAGTTCTCGAAGGGACACTGAGGGAACGCTGACTAGGTATTCGGCTAGGCTGCTTAGCGCTAAGCAACGCACTTGAAATAGCTAAGCCAAGCTTACCTCTGTGTCAAAACTCCATGCCCCGGGACACCAACCGCGCATTGGGTCGAGATAGGACTTGTCGATTTACTAATGAGCCCAACTGGTGAAGTAAATCCCGTGTTAGCCTGACGCGTTTGGCTATTACCCCTTGTCCGGGTTGTGTAGTAACCAGTAGTCTGGGTACGGATTGAGGTGTACCGACATTTGGTGAAGCAGCAGCATTACCTGTTTCATCACTCTTGTGCATAACCCGAATGGGGGGGGGGGCACCCGAAATTTGAATACTTGGCCCAGCTGGGCAATTTGAAGGAGATGGCAACTCGCTGGGTGCATCGGTATGCGCAGGTAGGCCCTGCTTAATAAGTCTAGTGGGGCTAGCCAGTCGAAACGGTGGATGGATAGAAGAACAGTGAATGGTGTCTCCATGTGGAACCAATCGAGGAGCATGTACTGATTCAGTCTGCCTTGGTCAAGAACTGGATGCCTGCCACTTGTGGGTTTGGTACTACGAACACATTTAAGTAGAAGCCTGGATTTAGTTCCGGCTGATGTACCCTGTATATGGCGCCTTTTCCCAGTAAACTGCTACTTCCTGTCTGATTGCTTCCACCTTGCGGGGGTCCCCCGGCAGTGCCCAACAGGAGAGACACTGACGGGGGAGATGGAGATTTTAGCGGTATCCCGTAACCGGATGTCACCACCTGCGAAGGTCCAGGGATCGGTCACCCGCCGTCTCCAAACCGGCCTACACCGGCGCATTCTGTGTATGACAGGGATATGTGGCCATGGGTTCGACAGTTCTGCTCTCTTCTCCCATGAGGTGAGTTATGACCTGGCTACTCGCCAAACACATGCCTGTCCCCCCGGTTGCAGAGGTGAGCATCAAACATGCTTCCCCCGCTGCCAGGGTAGACGCCCGACCAGGAAGGGTGAGGAGCCACCACCTGGCTCTTTCCTCCCTGGGGGCGCGCCACTACTCTTCCCTCCCATGGAAGGGTATGAGCGCTTGCCTCCTGGTTGACTGGCTAGCGGACGACGCCCTAGGGCGTTGTGTTTTCTGTGCTTGGGGTGCCCTCCGCTTGCCCTTGACAGGGCCAACTGGCTTGCAGATTCGATCTGAACCCTCTGGTGTATTGCACTCCGAAGCTCCGAGACTGTACCTACCATTCCCTGAACAAAGAGGGTGGAAGATGTCCAGTCTTCGTCACTGAGGTGGGGACATACCCCCTGACTCAGCTTGTCGACGAAAACATGTGTGTCTAAGGCTGCGTCTCGTAACACAGTAGTGGTCTCGGCCAAGCGAGCCAGGTGAGAATAGGGGATGTCGCACGTAGATGTGCGGTGGCCCGCCAGTAAATGTGTCGCCTGGTCTAGGAGGTTGGTGCATTCTGCCTCCGAGGTATTCAGAGTCCTGGGCGCACAATAATGCGTTCAAGCAACTCTGCCCTCAGGGCTGGATGGGTCGTCTTCGATTGAGCTGGCAAGAACGCCCATGGAACGCGGCTGTCCCCCTTTGCCCGGTTTACCAAACGGAAATTCGTGGTACCGGGGTCTGGGGAAGGAGCCTTGGGATCCAGTTGGGGGCGTTTTGGTCTCATCCCACGCTATGGGGTCTGATCCCAAAACCACACCGACCGGGTAGCGTTTGGTCCAGCGGGAAGTGTTGCCTAAGGTGTTGCCTTAAGCGATACGTCCTCCGCGGCTGACCAACGTCAACACCGTTTGCGTGTCCTGCGCCCCACTCTGCACTCAGACGGACAGGAAGAGACGTGCCGACGGGGTTGCTTTGGATTCCGGCGCCCGTGATCCCCTAAGCATTGAAGCAACCTTAGGTGGTCGTGTTAGGATCAAGGGTGGGGGTATTTTCATCGTATCACTGGGATCGATGATACTCCGCATCACCCCAAAAGCGTGGCTCACCGAGTCATTGCGGATGGAAGACTCTGAGGGACTGCCCAGAGTACCGGCTGTGTCCGACGCAAGCAAACTGCATCTCCTTTCATTTTAAATATGTACCTGGCTCTGACTGTGTCTGATCTACCCGGCCTGCCAGGAACGCAATTGCCCCGACAGTCCTTCGACCAAAACCCTCAACTCTGAGGCAAACCCGGCGCCGTGCGAGGAAGGGTCCACAAAGCGACCCGCATCGGGGCCCATAGGAGGAATGCCTCCAGGGGCACAGTCTCGCTGCAGTCGGTAAAATCAGGTAAACCACTGCCTGAAAAAACAGACTGTGAGGATGCCCTCCGATCAGCGGGGGAGACAGAGAAAAAATGGCGGTACCTACACCATCGGGCATCCTACTCGACGTCCAGGTACACAAAGCACCGGTAGCCGAGCGTGAGGACTTTCCACTCATGCCAAACACGCCTCACTTTAACCGATTTGTTTACTGGATGCGTGACCTTGCTGTGAAGAAACGAGCGACGTGGTCAGTCTCAGCGATTTTGATGGCTCTGAAAGAAAAATCTCAGGCCTCAGAACTCCAGTGAAAAAAAACATGCCTTCATGGCAAAAACCCTGAGCCCCGCACGCATCCACGACAAAAGTATTTTGGATGCAGGTTCTATGCTATGCAGGTTCTATGCTTGTGCATTCTGAATATAAACACTGCACAGTCGACTCGAAACACAAGGAGACCCCAAAAAAACGGCAGCGAGCCCTGGTGCTGTCATTACATCTATTCATTTCTAAATACATAGATCAAGCATAAAATGAAGATGACATGCATGAGGGAAGCGAATTACAGTAGTAAAAGGTGCCGCCACGAAACCGACAAGTGGTTACGTAGTGGCGCCAGATTTTAATTTCCTTGTTGTGGAAAAAAAAAATATTCCACACAAAGGGGAAAACGACACGAGGGTAAAGAAAACAAGAAAAACTTATCCTACCAGTAAGAGTGTTGAATGCCACCCAGCGGCAACAACCCAAGCTAGAAACCCGGATAGGAAAAAGCAGAAGAGCCAAGCAGAGCCGCTCAGGCGGAAAAGAAAGAGTGATTGTACAGCCATCTATGGTGTTACCATATGGCCTCGGCCACGTGGCTCGTGACGCAAGGGAAAGAGAATCTTGGGGTCATGGGGCTTCCCCTGACCTAGATTTTATCTCTCCATCATCAGCAAAATCGCTGATTAATGCCTACAGTTCAAAATAGTCATTTTGACTGACCGGAGTCTATGGTGGGTAATTGAACGTAGTGAATTTTAATAGTCAATTAGTCTCATAGTCAGAGCCATAATCAGATTACCATTATAACCACAGAGAATGTCCATTTATTATTATTATTATCTTTTATTTCAGGACAAGCCCATATAAAAAGTAAGAAAAAAAAAATATTAACAAATTACACAGTATGCCTTAAATAAAATCGACCACGCCACATTTGCCATATACGTGATTTAAAAAAATATCACTCGATAATAAATTGATTAAAACAGAGTTCTTACTCAACAAAATACATTGCGAAAAACTGTAGCACATTTTTCTAAGTTTAACCTGAAAATCATCAACATGTAGTCTGGCGAAAGTCTCTGTTATACTACTATTAAAAGAACGAGAAACATTACATATAATTCTAAGAGCGTTGTTATACGCAACAC